ACAAGAGAGGTAGGTGTCACACAAACTCTAGAAGGTCTGGATTTTGGAAGGTTTTGGATTTTTAGGTTAGGGATTCTCAGCCTGAGCTGACTTCTTTGCAATAATCATTTCTTACTGTCATAGAGATAGTGCCCTCCCCTCCCCTTAGAGTTTGAAATGAACTGAGAAACTTTGCCAACCCAACCCCACCCTGTTCGCTTTTTCCATTCTCCAACCACTGTGGAGCCCTACACGCTGGAGTCACTGTATCCGTCTGTATCCTAATTGTTTACATGTCTCTTTCCGCTTTAAGAAAGGGCACTCATGTCTTGTTTTTGTGGCATGGATTCCCAAGGGATATTTGCTGAACTAGATTGTTAGATTATGACAGAAATGTTCATACTCCCTTGTGAATGTGGGCATGGAAAGCAGATTCTAAATGGGACTCAATAAAATGCCTGGAATTCAATCCACTGATGTTGATTCTACTTTAAAAAGTCAAAAGTGGTCGTTTTCCTTCCTTCCTTGTGTATCTTTCTAAGGTCATGAGTTCTTAGCAACATTGGCTAATAAGGCAAAGCTGTAGTGATAGCAAGGGTCATAACTGAATCATGATAATGAAATAAACACATTAAATATTAAGCTTAGGACAAGAGTTGCAATTGTCAAATTTTTAATTTCCTGTTGCTTCCACCAAAATAATTTACTGTACCTGTAATCAATATGGCATAAGTATATGTAAGTCTCAGATATTGTTATGATGATGATGATGATGATGATGATGATGGTTTTTCCAGATAGAGTTTTACTGTATAGCCCTGGATATCCTGGAAATAGCTTTGTAGACCAGGCTGGTCTCAAACTCAGAGATGCACTTTTCTGTGGCTCCCAAGTGCTGGGACTAAAGGCGTGTGCCATCACGCCTGGCAATAATTTTCAAGTTCTAAAGTTAAATTTCCATTCAAATATAATTATGAAAAAATCTATCTGTAAAGTATTTTGGAAAACTTGCCGATTCCCACCAGCAATGAAAGCATAAAATAATAACTTGAAAAGTGATAAAAGAGAATTATTTGGGGGAGAGGAGATGTTGAGATAATTTTTCTACGTAGCCTAGGCTGGCCTGAAACTCACAGCCATCACCTTACAACCTAGGAACTGGAGTTTACAAAGAACTCTTAAAGATTGCATTGGGTGCAGAAAACAAATTTATAGGCTAATTTATATTATTTATGTGCATGTGTTTGCTTATGTGCACCACATTCATGCAGATGCCCCTGGGTGTCAGAAGGGGGCATTGGATTTCCTGGAGTTCAAGGTGGTTGTGAGCTGTTAGATGTGGATGCTGAAAACTGAACCCCATCCTTTATAAGAGCAGTAAGCACTCTTAACCACTGAGTTATCTCATTTCTAGTACTGACAAGAAACTTTTTACTAACATTTTTAATAGCCCTTACTAGCAGAGCAAGTTAATTTTTAAACGCCACAAATGGACGTCTGGTTTGGATCCTTATGCCTTCCACCTCCACCCCATTCTGCTTTGTTCTTTTCACATTCCTGATGATCTCCCGGATGTCAAAGTCCAAACCCTGTTTCCTGTTTCTTGAGTGCCTTCTGCATCTTGGCCCCGGTCTGTACCACGCTGTTTGCCGCACGCGCGTGCTTTTACACTTAGGAATTCTGCAATACTGTGAGCGCATCCAGAGAGCAGAATGACCACCGGGGCTTTCTTTCTGTAAACACATCAACATCTGTGACAGTGGCTGGAACGGCGCGCATTTGAAGGGCACTGTAAGCACCCTGTGATGGAAATCACCGTTCCAGGACTCCGTGCGCTTCCAACCCTCCACCCTCCTTTAATGTTTCACAACTCTATTCTGTTAAAAAAAGTCTGCTCAGACCCTCGCTAACACTCGCTCGCAAATGCCACGTGCATGTGCGTGTTGCCTGCGTGTGCGCACTTGCAGAGGTAGTCGGCGGCCCTGGTGCCTGGCTTTGGAGGAAAGCATCCATCCACCAGAGCTCCTGGCATCCAGGGTCTGCACATCTTGGTCTCCGGAGCCCTGGGTGTGGTGATCTTGGAAGGGGCTTCCGGGCTCGAGGAGTGAAAGGGACAGCCTCCTTCCAAGCGCGGGGGGCCAGAAGAGGTGAGGAGGGCACTAGGGTGCGCGGGCTTCAGCCCTTATCCTCTCTTCTTGCTGAACAAAGCAAGAGGGTGATTTCCAGGCCAGAAGGCTGAGGTTGCTCAGGCCTTTTCTGCACAGGGACGCAACAGTGTTCATGAGCTGGGCGAGCGCAGCCAGGCTACTGGGCTGGGCTTTGTTGTCCACGCGGGCGACTTCCAGATCCAGTCCGTCCGAATCCTACAGGAGGCCGAGCCGGACACTTCCTCACACTCATTGGAAGGACAAGAGGGTGACTCATGTTACACGGGTCCGAGCTTCCCTCCCCGTAGCTGCTAAGTCGAAGCTTTAAAAGGAAGTGACATGGGTGGGGCGAGACGTCAGCCGAGGACCACCTTTTTTTTTTTCCCTTTCCGAAGGGTCCACCCCTTTGGGTGGAGTCTCGCTTTTTCTTTCCAGTGTTGGCTGACTTACAGCTTCTATAAAGTAGAGGCAGTTTCTGAACCCTAGGCAGCTGCCTCGCAGTTGTGGCCAGTGAGCGCCAATGCACAGGGCTGCCGGCAACGAGGTAGGTGGTATTCGTGCGGTTTCCAGGCACCTTCTCCTGGGGTGGGGCGTGCGGTGATCAGATGCCCTTCTCCAGCAGGGTTTCCTCTGCTCGGCTGCTTTTCCTGAGACTTTGAAAGGGACTGTCTGGGAGACTGGTGGGGTGGTGGAGATTGATGCAGGGGGGAGGGAGGGAGGGCACAGGGGCTCGGCCGAGGACCCCTGCTTTGTGCCGGGCTGTGAGGTGCCTTTTGGGGGCTCTGCGAGCCTCTCTCCCAGGATGGAAGCGTTTTCTCGGCCACCAGTGAAGCTGTAGAGAATCCTCTGGTTACATATACCGGTTCTCTTTTGTGTTCGTGCAACACGTTCTTCTGCCTCTGGTGTTTCTATGGCAACCACAAAAAAATAATACTCCACGAAATACAGTCGGGATCTTAAATGGATTTATTTGTGTTTCCTTCCTGGGCTTGGCCTGGCTGGGCCTCGCCGGAGCGCGGCATGACTCTGTAGATACCCCCTCCTCGTTTTCATGTTGGTTTTTCCCTATCGCACAAGGGTGGGGGAGGGGAGTTGTCAAGGAAACAGGCATTTGTAATCAGCGCCGTATTTACTTAATTTTAAGCTTCTGGGTTCTCCATCAGACGTCGGGATTTTTAAAGGGAGTGTTGTGATGTTTATGAAGCTCTCGAGTGTTTTGGGTAGTTTTTAAAAACTTAAATATCTCTTAAGACACGATACTGAATAAGCTAAGAGGGGAAGGAGGGTTTAACTCTTTCCAGGACGGGAAGGCTTTGAAATAAAGTTTTGGGAAGTACCTGAGAATTCACACTGGTAAATATGTTATCAGCTGCTCAGGCTTGCCCACAAGTCTAAACATGTACGAACGAGGTGAGTCTCGGCTGTAGTCTGAACTTCATTTAGCCACAAATCAAAGTTGGGTTAGTGTAAGAAATGCTAACTACCTCGCAGGGTCCCCAGGGTGTTCTGCTGTGTGCTCTCACCTTCGTCAGCCAGTGTTCACCCTCCATGTCTTCCCAAACCTGCGAGGCCCTGCTCATCTGAAGAGTTATCCGTCAGCATCCTCAGCTACGGAAAAAGTTAGAGAAGGGAAAGCATGCATGTGTGTCTGTGTAGAGGAGGCAGGCTCCTGTGCATGTATGTGTGTGTATAGGAGGCAGGTGTGTGTGTATAGGAGGCAGGTGTGTGTGTATAGGAGGCAGGTGTGTGTGTGTATTTAGGAGGCAGGCTCCTGTGCATGTGTGTCTCTGTGTATAGGAGGCAGGCTTCTGTGCATGTGTATATCTGTGTATAGGAGGCAAGCTCCTTTGCATGTGTGTATCTGTGTATAGGAGGCAGGCTCCTGTGCATGTGTCTGTGTAGAGGAGGTAGGCTCCTGTGCATGTGTCTGTGTAGAAGAGGTAGGCTCCTGTGCATGTATGTGTGTATAGGAGGTAGGCTCCTGTGCATGTGTCTGTGTATAGAAGGTAGGCTCCTGTGCATGTGCCTGTGTATAGGAGGCAGGCTCCTGTGCATGTGTGTCTCTGTGTACGGGCGTAGGGTGGGGATGGGGTGGGGTTCCTGTTTAAGAAAAAAAATTCAGGAGTCTCAAGTTAAAAGTGTGATATCCTCCTGATCTATGGGGGGGGGGAACTCGTGGGGGGGCGACAAACCTTTAGAAGAAAACTAAGATGTGAGAGGAAATTACCACCTACCTAGTGATAAACACAGGTAGATAGTAATGCCAAACAATTCACTGAGCCCAGGCAGGCCCTTTAGCAGGTGTGGCTTAGTTGCTGCCTTTATTCAGTACATCTGAAGAAAGCCTTAATAATGGACCCTCTTCTTGTAACGTGTACTGCCAATACCAGAATTATCTCTTTAATGGTACTGATAAGAGGCTACTGACATTATCTGCAGTAAGAATTGCAAAGGCCTCAGGATACTTTCGGACTATTAAAGCCCAAACCATGGCTTTGAACCCTAGTCCCCTGACTCTGTACAGTCAAGAAGGACCAGTAGTTTCTAGAATGCTCCTTATCTAACTGCTGTTATTTCTGTCTTAAAAATTGACCATAGCGCCAGAGGTCTCAAGCATTTCAGATGCAAAAGTTAGCTGCAATGGGAGCTAAGGGGTACTGCACGACACTAGAGTCATGAATGCTTTTGTTTCTCAGTGGTGGAGAACTGGCCTAACATCCTAGAAACCCTCAAGACCAACAGATCCAACTGGAGAAAACTGGGGAAGATTAGAGACCTGGGGGAAGAGGGCAGAGCACAAAAACCTAGGCAAGAGAAGGACTCGACTTTCATTTTGCCAAGCACGTGTTGTTGTCCGGCCTGGCAGTGGGATCAAAGCGTATCAGTAGTCTGTTAGTTACAGCCTGTCACTCCTGAGTTTCCAGACTAGGGCATTTCACCCAATCCAGAGCACAGCACAGCAGCAGCAGACACGCAAAGAGACAAAACCACTCTCTGCTGTCCAGACGCAGAGTGACATGTTGGGCCTGTGGAAGACAGCTGGAGGGAGCTGTGTGGAAACAAAGTCCCCCAAAGTGACTCCTAGAAGGCCAGGCTGTGGCATGACCTGGGCTGGAGAGAGAGAGAGAGAGAGAGAGAGAGAGAGAGAGAGAGAGAGAGAGAGAGAGATTGCACTGGGCAGTGGGGAGGAAGTGGTTAGCTGTTGACTCTTGCCCTGCTTAAAGTTTTCTTGTGTTTTCTATATTGGTTGCGCATAAAGCTGAGAAACACCTGTTAATTAACCAAAACGGGAGGGAATAGGAGTGCTGGATCCATAGGAGAATAAAGACTAAGCAGAGTGAGCTAGTGGGCTACCCTGCCCTTCCTGGGGACTGTGGCTCTTCCCAGCAGACACAGAATATCGTTTTTTTGTTTTGCTTTGTTTTAAAAGGCTATTTGCTTCAAAGTTCTATGTCCATGGGTTCACTGAATCTTCTCGTGTTCTTTGGAGCTTTCTTTCCATAATGCAATGCTAGCTAGCCCATGTGGATAGAAACAAGAGTCTAGACCCCTCGCAGACCCCAGGCAGTCTGTAGCAGCAGCTGCAGTTCACCTCTGGATGGTGGAGCATCCAGTCACCTATGCACTACTACCTCAGTGTATTTCCTGGGGTCAAAAGGTTTTCTCAGTCGACTGATCTTACCCTACAGTTGGTTGTCTCTACTACCTTCAGCTGGAAGTGGCGGGGCAGTGTGACAAAGGTCAACAGGAAAAACACCCTCTGACCTCGGGAGAAAACACTTAGCAAGTCTTGCGTTGTCTTTGTTATTTTAATCTCTCTTGAGATTAGTTAGCCTCAAACTAATCTGCTGTCCCTCTGCTGAGGTAGGTCTCCTGACAACTGCAACCCCATCCTGAAACTTCTGCTCTGGGTCCTGGAAGGGAAGAAGTACCTTTGGACGTCGTGGTGGTTTGAACTGGTACTGAGTCTTGCAGGAGATGATTTCTCCTTCAGTTTGGGGGTGACTAGTGACCCACAGAGACACTGATGTGACTGGTCATCTCGTAGGATCCATGAGAATTCCAGGGCCCACTGTTGTTGCGGGGGGCGGGGGGGGGGAGGGGGTTCCTATATGTCAGTTGGTTGTTCAAACGTCACAAGTACCAACTTGTTTTGTGCTCATAGCAGATTTTCATGTAAAAGTTGTTGCCACTGTCCATCACACAAAGATTAGTAAGGGACTCATCTGGGACGGCGACAAGCAGCATTGGGGGCCGAGCTCTAGCTTTCCAGAGCCTTTCCTTAAAGTGACAGACGGTACCTCCTATCCTGGTATGGTGACTTTCCTCTCTGCTCCAGGCCCAAGCACAGAGCCTGGAGCAGTGGTTCTCAACCTTCCTAATGCTGTGACCCTTTAACACAGTTCCTCATGTTGTGGTGACCCCCAACCATAAAATTATTTTTATTGCTACTTCATAACTGTAATTTTGCTACTGTTATGAGTCGTAATGTAAATATTTTCAGAGATACAGGTTTGCCAATAGGGGTCGAGACCCACAGGTTGAGAAGCACTGGCCTAGAAGACAGTGGACATATGGGACTCTTTTTATTCCCCTTGGGGGCAGAGTAGGGGTTGGGGGAGACAGGATTCAATATCCCAAGCTGGCTTTGAACTCCTTATGTGGCTGAGAATGGCCTTGAACTTCTGATCTTCCTGTCTCCGCATTGCAAATGCTGGAGTGTCAAGTATACACTCTGATGATACCCTTTTTACGTAGTGCTAGAGATGGACTCCCCACCCCTGATCTGTGCATCTCGGAAGCGCTCAACCACCTGAAGCGCATCCCCAGCCGAAGGAAAGAAAAAATGTTTTTTAGGTGAGCAAATCTCTATAGATCTTCCCTCACATGCCTTTCATACTTAGTTTTAAGTCTGCAGAAACCCTGCGCGACAGAGAAGTGTTTTAGAAGTCGGAGAAACAGTGCATGTAAGACAAGTAGCTGTCATTTCCAGAATGGCGTTGTAGTTTTCTGGGAGACAGTGGGGGCAGGGAAAGGGGCCCATGATGAAAACGCAGCTGAAAGACACTGCAGTGCATACCCGTAAAGCCAATGTGAACTGCTGTCAAGACCTGTGTTTACCCAAGGAGCAAGACTCACCGAGGAGTCACTTTTAATTAAGGATCCCTGCTGCTGCCCAAGTCCTGCAGGCCACCGTTGGGTGGAGCCCTGGAGCCCCGCCTTCCTCCTTTTTGTTTACCTTCAAAACCCAGTTTAAAAGGCGAAAAATAATCATCTGTGAAGATGCTGCAGGGCTTTATCTTAGACAAACTTTGAAACAAGGATGGGAGAAGTGAATGGACCCAGGAGTGAAATCTGCTCTGCTTCCCATCACTGGGCTCCGTGTGAGCAGTCAATTCCCTGCAGGCAGGAGGCTAACCGAGGCTGATGAAATTTTAAAGAATTGAGCGCAGCATCTTTTTCCCAGGACACAGAGGCCCAACACACACAATCAAGGCAACTGTCAAAACTTTCATCCTGGATCCCGGGTGGCTGTAAATCACC